ATAAAAATAAGATATTGTGTGCAATTCAGAGTAAGAAATACAAGTGATCAATAAGTATATAAAAAGGGGTTGTGTTCAACCCTCCCAGAAATGCAAATTAAATCAACCAGACATTTTTGCCAGTCTGATTGGCAAAACTTTAATAGCATCAAGATTTGATAAAAGTATGGGGAAAAAGAACCTCCTCTACACTGTAATTGAAATGCAAATTTGTATAGCTTTTTGAAGGACAGTTTGGCATTATCTATAAATAACTAAAATGCTCATGTTCTTTGACTCAGGAACACTGCTCCTGAGAGTCTCTCCTGTAGAAATATGTATATTCCCAAAGGTACTCAAAAGAAGTTCATTACAGCATTACTTATAATAGCAAAAGTTTGGAAAAAGCATAAATGCCTGGCAATGGGGAAGTAGATAAATTATGAGAAATTCATGTAGTAAAATGCTATGAACTATTTAAGAAAATAAAGTAGCTTGATACGTTGTAACCCAAAGAGATAATGTATTAAGTGAATGGGCAAATCACAGCATAATGTATGTAGTCCTCTTTTTCTGGAAAGAAAAAAAAAAGCATATTCTGTAAATTTATAGAAGGAAGTCTGGAAGTCTGTAATAAATGGATAAATTTAACATTGGTTACCCTGAGAAGATAGCATTTGAGGGTACAGGGGCATTTTTTGTGTATGCATATACATTAATGGTGGTTATAATATGAAATTTTTACCCCCTTTGTATTTTCCTATATTTTTAAAATTAAAAAATAAAGAATTAGTTTAATACTTTAAAGTGTTCCTGCAGCATGAATATAAAAAGGCTCAAAATAATAGGAATGAGCAATTTACAGGATGTTTTTAAAAAATACTTAATGTATCAGATGTTAAGCTGACTTTGAGTTTTAAATATGAATGATTCAAGCCAAACGTATCCTACACCAGAAATGCCTTTCCAAGATTTCTGAGAATTGTGAGGGCTCACACTGACTTTTATTTTTGAGTTTCTGCTTTTGCTTAATTCCAGGCTTGTCCATATCTCACTTCCCAGAGTCGTTGTCATTGGTTGGTCCCATGAGATACCAGATGCGGAATTAGGCCCCCTTTCTTCGATTCTTTCCCTTCCTTAAGCATTTACACTAGGCATTTGTATGTGTAGCATACTTTTTTGAAGATTTGGTAAGGGAGGAAGTGTTTTTATTTCGAATCCTGCAAATAATTTTACATGGAATGTTAGTCACCCCAGGCCTGCAGTTGCTGTACCACTCTGTCACCTCTCCTTGTCTCGAGTTGGTGTGGCCTTCTGCCAGGATGCGTTCTTTCCATGTACTAACACCGTACCTTTTCTTCTCTGGTCTCTTTTTCTGCTCTTTCCTCAGGCCCTCAATTCCTATATCATATTTAAGTAGAAAAGGCTAGGTATCACTTTTATTTTCTGATGTCCTTGAAGCCTCATCTTCCCCAGCCAAAACAGCCTATCAAGATGTATTCCTCAACAAAGATAGTCACTTCCCTGTCCCAGGAACTCCCAGAGTTTGCAGAGGAACTCTGGTGTCTGCTGTTAAAATAATAATTTCTTCTCTTTCATTGCATATTATAGTTATAAATGTAGCTGATAATTATTAATTCTTCCCGTTGTTTTTTTCTTCCTAAGTAAAGCCTTATCCTTTGGTAAGTAGTGTCAATTGATGAGTCTTAATTGACCTTGGCTTCCAGCTGTGAAACATAAGAGTTGTGAAGTATTGATATCATGATGACACTTAATCACACTTTCATTTTCTTAGGGACAGGGAGAAAATGACTTATGATTAATCTAGAACCTAATTTTTTTTTTATTAAATCATAGTTGTGTACATTAATGCAATCATGGGGTACAATGTGCTAGTTTTACACACAATCTGAAATGCTTTCATCAAACTGGTAGAACCTAATTCTTCTAAAAAAGTTAGTTTTATAATTAAAGTGTAAGCAGAAATACAATTCATGAAGTTGCCAATTATTATTCTATAATAGAACTTAACCTAACAGGTGGTCTATGAAGCTTGGATATATATATACACACACACACATCTATCTATCTATCTATCTATCTATCTATCTATAGATGAGCCCCAATAAATATAAAGTGACCTTAACCACGTTAGTGTGTAAGATTTACGTACTGCCTGTTAGAGGCAGTATAACATAGTGGATAGGAAGCCTTTGGTGTTAGAAAAGACTAAATTAAACTCTGTATTATGTTCTTTACTGTGACCTTGAACATGTAATGATATATACCATAAAACTGGCTTAGTATGGTGCCTGATTACAGAGTAGTCATTCACAGTAAAAATAGAATGTTAGCAATAATTGCTATTATTTTTATAATATTTAATATTCTCCTGTTTATTACTATGAATTTTTCAGTCTCACTTTAAATTCACATGTACTCTTAGTGTGCATCCTATAATCCTATAACATTTCCTAGTCAGCATAATCCCTATTCTTTAAAACCATTCTATCAGGCTGCAGGTTGGACACCCCTGGGACTAGTGCTCCATTTTTTTTCCTGCTCTTCTTAGAGAGAAGCTCCTTGAAAACATACCCTTACTTCAACTGCTTCAAACAGGATTGACTTTATTCCTTCTGCTTAAGGGAAACTGCTCTTGTCAAAGTTTCCAGTGACTGCTAAGTTGCCAAACTGAGTGGCAACTTGGTAGTTCTCAGTCTCCGTTTTACTCTACCTCAGTAATATTGAATAGATTTCTTCAGCCTTCCTGAAATACTTTCTTCTGGCTTCTAGAACATTGCCATTCCTGATTTTCCTTCAATATCACTGGCCAGTTTACTGAATCCGCTTTTACTTTTCTTCCCTGACTTCTAAATATCGCTGAGCCCCAGGGCTCAGTTTTTGGACCTCTTTTCTTTTATCCTATTCCGTTCATAAATAATCTCACCCAGTCTCATTGCTTTTATTATTACCTTTATAGCGATGTCACCTAAAGCTGTATCTTAAGTCTCAATCTTCTCTGAACTTAAGGCATGTATGCCCTGTTGACTATACTACATCTCTGAATGACAAATAAGTACCTGAAACTTTGCATATTCTACTCTTCCCCCAGTTTTACTCATACACTTACAAATAAATAGTACTTCTAGTCACTAGTCAGACAGAAATCTTGTATCTCCCTTGACTCCCTTTTCTTACACATCTAGTCCATCAGCAGGTCGTAGCTCTCTGTAGGTCCAGATCCAAAATGTGACCGCTTCTCACCATCTTTCCAAGTGATCCCCACAGTCCAGGCCACTGCTTTCTCTTGTCTAGACGACTGCAGTAGCTTCTTCATTGGTCTTCCTGCTTCCACTACTGGCCTCTACAGTTCTTTGTACACATAGCAACCAGAGTGACCCTCTCAAATCAGTCATTATTTTCCTATTTAAATTTCTTAAATAGTTTTCTGTAAGTTTAGAATGACTTGCCATAGATGTAGAATGATTTGCTGCCTGGAAGTGGTTCTGACTTCATCTCCTGCCACCTTCCATCTCCCTCATCTATCCAGACACAGAAGCCTCTTCACTGTTCTTTGAGTGCACCAAGCACATTCCTGCCTTCACACTTGTTCTTCTCTGTAATGTCCTGAAACGTTCTCCCAGTTATTCACTTGGCGTGTTCCTTCATGTCATTCAGTTTTCTGCTCAAATGCCAATTAATCTTAGAAACATTCCTGACCGTGTTATCTAAAATAGCACCCGTTCCCCAGTGCTCCCCTCCTTCAGTCTCTCTTCTTTATTCTCTGTTTTTCTTCTAATAGTGCTTATCATTCTTGCTATTTTCTCTAATTCTCCTTCCCCTTCTAGAAAGTTAGTTCACAAAGTAAGGACTTTGAACATTACCTGTGGCACTCAGGTTTGTTGAATAAATAAGTAAATTAGTTTTTTCTCTGTCATATATCCTCTTATCTTACTAATGTAGTTTTTAAAAAACCTTGGAAAAAAGTAATATTTTAAAAATTTGTAGTAAATACACATAAAATTTGCCATGTTAATCATTTTTAAGTATACAGTTCAGGGGCATTCACATTGTTCTGCTACCATCATCACCGTCTATCTCCAGAATTCTTTTCATTTTGTAACTCTGAAACTCTGTACTCATTAAACGATAATTCTTCATTCCCTTTACCTTCTAACCCCGGGCAACCACCATTCCCCTTTCTGTATCGGTGTCTACTTTCTCTCTCTATGAGCAGCCACTAAAAGGTAAGGTTTGAGTGTCTGGAGAGTGAAACCACCCCACAGGTTTCTTTTTAGCAAGTTCTTCTTGAACAACTTCCCTGAACTTGGTATTGTGTTAGGTGGCATCATCATACCTCACTACAACCTCAAACACACAGTTCAGCTAAATGTTTTCACAGGAGTTGAGCTGTGTTAGTCAACGTGTGGGAATATCATGGAGGCAATCAGCTTTCAAAAAGTAGGGACTCCTTTTTGTTGTTGTTGTTGTAGTTGTAGTTGTCATTGTTGTTTGGCAGGCCTGGGCTGGGTTCAAACCTGCCAGCTCCGGTGTATGTGGCTGGTGCCCTAGCCACTGAGCTACAGGCACGGAGCCTGATTACTTAATTTTAACATTGCTTTTCTGAAGGAATTACCTATTCATAATCTCACAACCTACCCACCTATCCTTACAGCATGGAAGAAATGAATTTTTGTGTATGTTTATTTTCACTTTGATCCCTTTGACATTTTCCCTTTTTCACTTATGATGAAAGGCATTTAAAATAAAAAGGGGGCTGGCCACACACTGAACAGAAGAGAAACTATAAATTTTACTGGTCTCTTTGGGTTAACAAATGGGCTGCACCAGAGTGCTTTAGAGTCATAAGAATGCCCTAAAACTGACAATCTGATGAGACGATATAATTCTAGAGCCATTTATACAGGTGAGACATAGACAATTTATTGTTCTTGTTTGAAGACTTATCTATAGAACTCTATGGAGAGGCTAAGAGTGAATGAACAATCCTTTCTTTCTAGATCTTCATCTGCTGGTGGACGTGGCCTGCAAGCAGGAGCACTTTCCAAAGGAGGAAGAATTAAAAGAGTGAGGAATGGATGACAAATGTGACATTGTGCACTAGCTGTAGCTGGAGGCAGACTAGCCTTGCACATGACACACTGTTGGGATTTTTTCGGTTCTGTTAAGGAAAAAAAAGTATTTTTTGTTTTGTTAATTGAGAATTTTGTTAATGGAGAATTGGGAATTTGGTATTTACTACAGCTGTTCAGTTCAGATTATTTGCCTTGACAAACTACTCAACATCTAGCAGCCATGTTTTTTTGCTGCCCAGATCCCTTTCAAATGAAAAGTCCTGGCCTTCTGTTACAGTCAAGAAGCATCTAAAAACTGCTGCCTCTGTGGTAATGGAGAATAATCCGCGTGTGTGCTGATTCCACGTCTTGCCACTCTCAAACTGCAGTCAGCACAGCTACGGTTGGGAGTTCAGTTTCTCTGTTTCAAGTCACAGTGTGATCCTTTTAGACAAGATTGTGTGAGAAACAAAGACGTGAGGTCACCAAGATCACAGGTCTAAATGGGTCAGGAATTCCAGGGAAGAAACTCTGGGAAAGAGTTAATTTTCCAAGTGATTAACCAGGAAATCTCTCTTACTTCCTAACCCAGCATCTGTTTCAAGAGCAAGGCATCGGGACTTGGACCATCCATTACACTTAACAACCCCTGATTCTTTTATATTAATGGGAGCATTCTTCTACTTTCCTACCTTTCTTTAATTTTAATGATACATTATCATAAATAGTAAGAAGGTTTTGTTAATATATCAGTTATTTAAAAGTCTTCTAAAGAAAAGTATTTAACTTGTTTAGTATATGTATAAATGCTGATAGATTTAAAGGTTTTAAAGCTTTATATTTTTATTATTATCACAGGATAGAAGGATAAAGGATGCACATGTAATATTTTTACTTTGAAGAGGAATGTACAATGTGTGAAAAAAACATTAAGAGATTTAACATAGTGTTTTCTTATTTTATATTTTTACATTCAGTAAGTAGAAATCCTCAACTATATAAGGGATTGTGTGCAAATTTGGGGATAAACGATTGTCATTTAGCAGAAGCTTATGCCTCTGATATTTAGAATTTTGGATAGTGGGATAGATTGTAACATTTTTTTCTTATCCCTTCTATAGGCTTCTAAATTTGAGTAGTAGGATTGTGGGACTGTTTCTTAGGAGAGAAGGATGTCTTGGATATCCAGTTTCTGTGGCTGATCTCTTACTTACTCATCCAATGACAGCAAGAAACTTTCTGATTTAAAGTCTTTTAAGTTGACTAGAACTTTCTTATCAGATTCTGCTTCAGTTCTCCTAATAAGCACTGAAGAAACAAAAGGAAAGCCTAGCATGTGAAACTAATTAAAAAGAAAAGTCACTTAGTTATGTGACAGTATACTAGCTATTGTGGGGGTAGCAGTTCATTTCTTATATTGCATTGTGCCTTCCCAATGATGTTAAATCCTAGAAGTGTTGCAGAGATGTAGTTTTTTTTGGAAAAGGGTGAGGTCTGTATTGTCTGCAGTGACTCAGTTTAGATATTAAAGTAGGTTCTGAAAAGTGGCCCATCTGGTCCCTCTGATTAGACTAGTTGATGTCCATGTTATGGGCATTTATTCATCTTTACTAGCAAGGTTTAAAAGATGAACAGATTATCAGGACACCTACATCTTTTGGCCAGACTGTATAGTTTGACAGAGTATGTGAAGAGGAATCCCAATTTCCAAATGATGGAACTTTGCCTATTCTCTGTCAGGTTGAAGAACTGATATACTGTGTAGGTGGTATTACTTTAAATATGGCTTTAGTAGCTTCATATATGTTGAGATAATATCTTTTGAGGAACATGTGTCAAGCAGGAACCTTGGCATAGATTTAGTTTCAATGGTTTTAAGGCTTAATTAATGAAATGCCTTAATCAGCTTTCCAAACTTTTTTATATATGAATTCAACAGACCAAGGAGCTGGATCTCCTGCTGTATTCACCTGCCTGGTATCTATCGACTAAAGCTATCATTAGGACTTAGGAACAATGCCAAAAGGTATAATAAAATCTTCATGTGAATTAGCCAGTAGGGTCTGCATAACTAGTCAACTAACAAGGTTCCTGACTAGCACCTCAGTATTTCAGCACCTTAAGCACCAATAAATTTCAATCAGTCAAAAATAAAGTGAGTGTTCCAACTAGACTTGGTGTCTTGCTTGTTTTTACTGTTTGCTAGATGATGAATAGAAAACTCAATCGTTATGACGTTAATAGTAAAGATCAAAAGAGAATGTACTCTTTTTTTTAAAGAATCTGATTAAAAAAATTTTTTTTTCATTTGCACTTTGAACAGTGGTTTGAATTTTTAAAATGCCATCAAGGGTGAGGACAATTCTTAGATATTTTATAGAAACTTAGTTTTTTAGAAAAGAATGAATGATATTTAGTGAATTTAGTCAATCCAGAGGTGAAAGTGGATCTGAAGGATAATCTGCCTCATGTATAAGTGTAGGTAATAGATGTCATTTTGAGATGAGAATTTCAATATGATGATGATGGCATCTTTATGACATCTCTGGGGTGGTATTGTGGTTTATCAACCCTTGAGGGATAACTCTGAAATGTTGAAGGTGCAGAATAAATTCTTTTACAATTATGGTGACCTGAATAAACGTAGTATATCGGTGAACTAAACTACGTAGAGTTGTTGGTTCAATCCCAACTTTCTCAAGGTCCTCAGGTTCATGATACATATCATCATTCCCAGGTCTCAGAGTTTCCTCGAGAAGGCAACCATATTTGTAACTTTCTTCTTTCCTTCAGTAAGTGCGTGTATTAACTTTTAGATTTAGATCTCTTAATTCCTTTGCTGGCTTCAAGCAGGAATGAACAAGGCAGAGTCCATTTGTAGGTTATTTTTTGTTTGGTTTAACGTTAAGGATATTTTTGTGTATGTCAATGATATATAATACCCTGTATTTTGCATTATTCATGCTGTACAATTACATGGCACACATAGAGTAAAAACATAAACTGTAATGTTAAAAAAATTCTTTCCAGCAGAATGAGAGCTCTTTCTGTCCTTTGGGAAAGGAGCTGTTAAAAGGTCTATACTAAAAGTCTGGGCACAGTGGCTCATGCTTGTAATGCTAGCACTCTGGGGGGCTGAGGGATTGGATTGCTTGAGCTCAGGAGTTCGAGACCAGCCTGAGCAAGAGTGAGACCTGTCTCTAAAAATAGCTGTTCATTGTGGTGGGTGTCTATAGTCTCAGCTACTTGTGGAGGCTGAGGCAAGAGACACTTGAACCTAAGAGTTTGAGCTTGCTGTGAGCTGTGATGTCACAATACTCTTAACAAGGGTGACAAAGTGAGAGTCTGTTTCAAAAAAGAAAAAAAAGTCTATACTGTGGTCCCTCTCATCAGAGGGTTCCACATTTGTGAACTCAGTTAACCTCGAATTTAAAAAATTCACAAAGAAATACGGCACCTGTGGCTCAAAGGAGTAGGGTGCCAGCCCCACGTATCAGAGGTGGCAGGTTCAGACCCAGCTCTGGCCAAAAACTGCAAAAAAAAAAAAAAAATATATATATATGCAGAAAAAAATATTCCACCAAGTTCCAAAAAGCAAAGCTTGAGTACTTTATCGAATCCATGCAAGTTAGGTGATGTGTTAGGTATCGTCAATAATCTAGAGATGACTCAAAGTGTACAAAAGGATATGCATAGGTATATGCAAATTCTGTGCTATATTATATAAGGGACTTGAGCATCTGCAGATTTTGGCATTCTCAGGGGGAACCAGGAATTCGTGTCCTACAGATACCTGAGGGTTGACTGTACCTGGGTTACGTTTTTAAGGTCCAAACGAGAAAAATTGCTAAACTAATAGGAGTTTATCTCTGTTCTAGGTTAGTTATTAGATCAAAAATGCTATTCCTCTTCTCATAAACTTTATAAGGAAAAATATTTAGAGTAAATAGATAGCTCATACTTTTTACTCTCAGAGGCCTGTGTCATTTAATATTTACAACAAACCTACAAGGCAATTATTATCATTAACCTTTTACAGATGATTAGAGTTTCATTTTTATATGAGGTAAAAACGTGTAACATTTGCCATCATAACCATTTTTAAGAGTATGGTTGATTTAACAATATTCACATTTGTATAATTTTGAAAGTTTATGGAGCAGTTCAAAGTAAATCGGCCACAGTCAGATATAATTTGGTAAATCTAAAAATTCAGATGTTATAAATATATTAGAAACTTGCATTACTTCTAATGACAAAGTATAGTTCATGAATGTGGTAATTAGCCAAAATTACTTTTTTGCCCCATACACTAATGTTCTAGCCCTTTGTATTGATGACGGACTTACTTGCGATTTTACATTGAGGGCATAGCTTTGCTCCATAATATTATTTCACCTCCCAAGATGTGAAGAGAAAGTAACAATTGGATTCCAAACCTCTGATACCAACCTGATCTGAAAGCTCTGTGCAGAACAGAGTTTGAGACAGAACTACTGAATTTAAAGCAATAAGAGCTGAGGAAAAGCTATGCATAAAACGTACCGAGCCCTTCGCAGGCTAGCACACAAAAATAAAAGCCGCAGTAAATCAGTAAGTACTACAGCACGGTGTTACTTCATTGTGGCTTTGTGCCATTTGTAGACACTAAAGCCCGGAAAAAGCAGAAAGCCCCTTGAACTTTTATATTTGTAAAACCTTGGATCTGTTCTTTTATCTTATGGATTTCTTTTTTTTTTTTTCTGTTTATTTCCTCATACCATCATGTGTGCTCTGTTGGGTGCAGAATCTGCTTAGCTATGTTTGAGTGGCCCTGATTGACATGTGGTAGCTTGCTTACCCAGAGGAAGGTATTGAGGACTGAACTGGATGTAGTTTGGCTGTGGCTCAATAGAGGGAGTAGAGGAGCTGAGTGAGGGCAAGCGAAAGAACGTGTCTGGTTAAGTGAGTGTTGTGTGTGCGCACCAGGAGGAGGAGGGGCAGGCTGGGGGTGGTTGCCTCCAGCTGCTCCACCCTCACTTTGTCAGCAGGTAGAGAGCGTGATTGCAGTCCCAGGGGGGAGAGTCAGAGCTAGAACACCAATTACAAACCACAGGCTTCCTGCTCTAGGGAGTTGATCCAGAATTGTCTTTCTGGAAGGGAAGCACTCGAATCCTTCGGAACTTTCCAAGTCCATCCATGATTCAGAGACATTGCCTTCACCCTCTGGGTTTTCTGTGTTTCTGGTAGTGAATTGTTGCTGATGCATTTGCTACTTCTTTTCTCTTTCAAGATTTGATCGTTTTATATGCTGTTCGGAGAGGAAAAGAACCTTTGTTAGAAAGATTTCAGAAATAACTTTGGACCTTCTCTAAGTGATTTTAGAGTTCTTGGGGACAGTAGCTCTCATCCTGGAGTAAGTTTCTGCCTTTGACCTGCATGGATTATTTTTTCAGGCTGTGGAATTTCTCGGCACCTACCTGTAGTGTGGGGCACTTGGTTTGGTTGCAGAGTAAGAAGGTGGAAGAATGAGCTGTATTTGGTTAAGCAGTTGAAACCTTTTATGAGCAGGATCTGTAAAAGCATAATTGAATTTGTTTCACCCCCCGTGGATTCCAGTGGGCCCGACAGCGCAACAGGTTTGCAGATTTCTTTTGAAATTCTATTTTTCCCCTCCCTCTGCCTCAGCAAAAGAAAAAACAATCTGTATAACAGGTTCACCTTCAATTGCTTGGCTTTTCAACATTTATTATGAAGACTTTAAAAGATTCTAAACTTGACCTTGGAGCACAGCGGGTTTTGTGAGTGAAGTGCATTTATACTTATTTAAGAGTGCACATTTAAAATTTTTATTCTGTGTTTGTACAGAGACCCAAATTCTCCTATGTGTCTAGAAATAGCAGAGATCTGCTCTACTCAGGCTTATTTGTATTTTTTCAGGGTTTTCTATTTAGAGCCTGTGACTGGTCATCTCACTGCTCCCCCTGTCTTTTATTCTCCACCCCCTCAAGGAATTTGAAACGTGTTAGGAATAGTCCTTTGTTTTTCTTATGAATCTAAAAAAATTACCGATTATAAGATCTGGCTATTAAAACAGTTTCCAAAAGCATTTCATGGGAAATCAAAGTGCTTGGTATTCTCAAGCTGGAGAAAAAATCTGGAATTCCTAGGCAAGAAAGGAAAATGGAGATAGAAATAATGAATTTTAGCTGGGAAAAATAACTGGGACGTTAACTTTTTCAAGTATTTTAATTATGACAGTTGGAAAGATTATGATGCTCAGGATTATACTATAACATGTGAAGATATATAAATTAGCTCCTGATTTATAGGCAACTTTTGGTAGAACACAAAAAAATATAGTATGTCTTAAGTTCATGGAAAGTATGTAAATTCAGTGGGCCTAGAACTTTGGCTACATTGAAATACAGTCTAATGTGGAAACTTCTAAATACATGATGTAGCATCTTTGGACATCCCTCAAAGTGTGGTCTGAAATTTTTATTACATTCTTTCTTTTCCCCTGTTAAGAAAAATTCTCCTTGTGGTCTTTAGTCATTTACCATTAAGAAATTCTGTGGCTTGAAAAGGGTCATCTCTTCATTTTCTGAGCTGGAGTTGTTCACTCTCACCTTTGATGCATGGCCTTAGCTGTTTACTTTGCCTTGTTTTGTCCATGAACATTGGATTTAGTGCCTGGCAACTTGATGCATATGGAAGAGCAACACCAAGTGATCTGACCTAATAAAAATTCACGATGTGACTTTCAGTCTCAAGCAAAGTTGGAAATTCCAAAGAGAAGCGGTGATATCTTTACTAGTCAGAGCAAAGATGGGAGAAAATGACATACCGGCAGCAGAAGTGGGCTGAAAACCCCCTCTTCTCTGCCCAACCAGGAATGCCACCTGTTCTTGGAAATATACTTTAGAGAAAGAAAGGGCCAAAAGTACTACTTGCCTTTCTGAAACTGAAGCATAAATTCTCTTTTCTTCCATTTGTCTGGATCCAATAACCTGCATTTGGTACTAGCTGGTGGAAGCAGTATGTATGGCCAAAGTGCTTTGCTGCAGCTGGTAGCATGAGTGCTGGCCACCAGCTGCAGCTGGCTGCCCTCTGGCCCTGGCTGCTGATGGCTACCCTGCAGGCAGGCTTTGGACGCACGGGACTGGTACTGGCGGCAGCGGTGGAGTCTGAAAGATCAGCAGAGCAGAAAGCTATTATCAAAGTGATACCCTTGAAAATGGACCCCACAGGAAAACTGAATCTCACTTTGGAAGGTGTGTTTGCTGGTGTTGCTGAGATAACTCCAGCAGAAGGAAAATTAATGCAGGCAAGTATAACTTTATTATATTTCACATTCTATCAGTTTGAAATATGTCTTCTTTTGTCTCCCAAGTCAAATATCATACAAGGTTGTCTGCTGCTTAGCTTTTCGTTTGTTCCATCTTTTAAGGGTATTGCCTTAATTGGCAATCTAAAGCAAATTCTTATTTTATAATCCAGAATAAATATATATATAAATCATACATTTTAGAAGATTATATGCTTATTTTAACTGGTACTGCATAGCCTTTTTAGATACATATAATGAAACCCTCTTTCTTGATGATATATTTTGGGCACTAATTTTTGATGGATGACATATAGGGACTTGTATTTAATTGACCTGAAGATTGTACCTTCCATCCAGTTTAAATATGAAGTGAGCACTAAGAAGGCTGATTTTAGTGGTCAGATGCACCTGAAATTTTAGAATGCCCTTGGCATATACTTGATTACTGTGTTACTTTTAAAATTCAGTCAAGTTTGAATGCTATGGCTGGCGTATACCACGTGTGGCACATTATTGCTAAACCCAAAATGGAGAGGACTGGATTACAAAATGGACACAAGGTATAAGCCTGCCTCTTGCTCACTTTGGTCTTGTCCATACATAATTTTATCATTTTCAAAAATTTCAAAACATCTGTTTTGTTTTGTTTTTTTCCTACCCACTAAGGTTTTCAGTTGGTTTCTTAGGATTTCAGGCTGTGAATTTTGCCTGTAAGTCATTCATTTGTAGCCTATTCTTTATGAATTTATGAACTGACTGGGGCCAAAGCAATTTATAGACCAATTGCTCATTCCCCATGGTGAAGACAGAGCCTAGAGGGTGATACCTTTTTAATGTGCCTTCCACTGCCCAACTCCATGGAAATGTTTATTGGTACAAATTTACTGTATTAAAGGATACTTTTTGCTGTAGCTCCTGGGACCCAGGTTAAAATGTCCTCAAATATGATCTATCTCAGCATATATACTCAGATTTTTATTTTGTGATATGAACAGAGCCAAAGTGTTATGTTAAATTTAAATGTTTGTCTGCTTAGAGAAAGAAAGTAGGAAAATTATAGGACTTTTTTCCAAGTGTGAATTTTTTAATGTATGGTTTAATAATTCTTCATTATCACTTCTTAGGCAGTATTTTGAAGCCGGGATAAATAAAGTGGAAAAAGAAGTGGGTAAAGTGGAAGGCTCTACTGTTTGGAAAAATAAACAGAAAAGAAGAGTTTATCTGGGAAAATGGCCTAAGACTCTTTTGGATAAGAGTCAGTCATTTAGTTTGGACTCTTGAGATAGAATTAGGGATGCTTAAAAATTGAAATCATAAATCATTTTGAACATAGCCATTGGGAAGGAAACCTCCTTCCTGACCTTGCCTAGTTAGTACCCTGAAGCATGAGGTGTGCTTACCATTTTAATTTTTTACCATTAGTAATCTTATTATAGAAACATACTTTGACATACTATGTATGTGAGGTTCTGGGGAGCTATACTAAACTTTGTGCCTCATTAATGCCTTGTGATAACATGTTCAACAGGCTAATTATGTGCTGCATAAAACAATTTCCTCTTTTAAATTTGTTGTCTTTTATTATTATAAAGCTGTATATAAAGTTACTGTGCTTTCACATAGGAAAAGGTAAACAAGGGGTACCAGGTGGCATGTATTCTCTTGACTATGCATTATTT